CTTTTCGTATGTCGTCAGTACTTCCGGTCGTTACGAGATGGAAATTTAAAAAGTTCGTAATTTCTAACTTTTTTGTTTTTCAGTATTTTTCATTTATTTTTGGTATGTTAATAGAAACCCTCCTTATAATGCTTACTATTTAATTTGTTTGAATATTGATAAATCGAAACTCTAGATATTAGCATTCGAAAATCTGAAGCGGGTCCAAAATGGCGGCTGTCTCTGTCAACGCCGACATTTCGCAATAGCGGTTTACGGAGGCAGCCGAGCGTTTGCTTTTACGAAAGTAACATATGAATAAATGAAATGTAAAGGAATACTTGGATTGTCACGTCGTAGTTTCGTTGCAGTTTTGTGTCAAACTAACGTCTTCTATAATTGGTTTTGGCTGGTTTTCAAAGTAGGAAAAGAAAAGACTAAATGTGCAAATGAAATTCGATACCTAATATCTTTTGTGCATCACGGAAAAACAGATCTTAAATCATACTTAAAAATAATACTTTCTCAAAAAAGAATATCAATTAATATTGTCAGTATAAATCATAACCACTGTTTTTCCTATGCACACTTGTGTCATATTAAACTAATGAATAAGACAAAAATAAGAAAAAGATTTTTTTAAAGATCGCTTCATGGAGTTTATTTTAGCTTTCTTGTCTCGAAGACCTGACTCAAGTTATTCAGCAAAAAGGATATCTGATTCCTTGACCATCGAAGGGCGAGCCATGTTTTTCGGCGAAACGTTTCAACCTTTTTCGATTAACTAATCGGGATAGTTCACTTTGGGGATAAACAGGAAATTGAAAAAAAAAATCATAACCGTTTCACCGCTTAAGTGTTACATGCATATATACAATATGGAATTTTTAAAATGTGTTAAACATACTTTCTAAATCTCGAATCGTAGGCTATAAAAACGTTCTTTTTTAATTTCATTGAAGCTATCACACCTATTTTATAGAAAATTCTAAAGAAAAAGCGCGAATTAACTCGTGGCATTTTGCGCTAAATTTTGAATAGTGACCTGCCTTTCATAATTTTAAGAGAGAAGCATATTCGTTAATATATACAAGCAGATTTAGAGTAGAGGTTCCGATAGCGTAATATTTAGTGCGTTGGAAATTCATACTAGCGACTTGGGTTCAATCCCCCTTGTCTGCAAATCTTTTTGTTTTACTATTTCAGCTCGATTTTACGTCTTCTTTCCGGAATCGGACGGAAGACCTCTCGTTGCTCGCAACGAGTTTCTCATCTAGTTATTCTTATTATTATTATTATTTTTTTTGACAAAATTTTGTGCAGGCGATTTCTCGAAAACTATTCAGTAGTTTTTCATGAAACTTTAACAAAATATGCGTCGTTATATGAAGTTGTTACATCCGAAGAGTAATTTGGAAAATTCGCTTCTGGTACCAAGTTATGGACAATTTCCTGATTTTAAAATGCGATTTTGTCGCGCACTTTTATCGAAAATGGCTAAGGATATGAACTGGAGACTTATTGGAGATGATAGATCATGACTTTGTGGATTGCAGAATCGCCTTTTCGTGCGTCGTCAGTACTTCTGGTCGTTACGAGATGCAAATTTAAAAAAATCGTATTTTCTAATTTTTTTGTTTTTCAGTATTTTTCATTTTTATTTGGTATGGTAATAGAAGCCCTCCTTATAATGCTTACTATATAATTTGTTTGAATGTTGATAAATCTAAAGTCTAGATATTTGCATTCAAAAATCTGAAGCGGGTCCAAAATGGCGGCTGTCTCTGTCAACTCCGCCATTTCGCGAGTAGGGGTTTATGGAGGCAGCTGAGCGTTTGATTAAACCATTCTGACATAAGGATACATGAAATTTTAAAAAAAACTACTTCGACTCTCACGTAGTAGTGAAATGGTTGGAGGAGTTACCTCCCGTTACTTGTTTATATTATAATAGATAATCAATGTAAATATTGTAATTAATTGGTCAATTGACTAAAGAATTATACAAGTATTATTGATAAATGATGTTCTGTTAGAAAATAATAATAGTGTTGCCAAAAGCAAGACAGTCTGTTTTATTTTATCAATATGATATCTGATAACTTATGATCATTGATTAAGTTGAGGTACAATGGGGCAGTACAGCCAACTGGCTTGTGACTTCACTTTGATACAGAAACCAATTGGTTTATCGATCAAATAGGATTGTGCAAAGTTGCCGTAGTCAGTGACTAGTTAAAATGTAGCTGTGTGACATTAGCTATAGGTTTGTCATTAGGACAGAGAAGCTCTTACAAAGTTAAATCATACTGTGTAAGTATATTGTAGCCACTTGGCTAGAGTTATATAGTAGAGTTGGGTATTGCGAGTGAAAACCATATTGCGATATATTGCAATATTTTACCTTGAATATTGCAATATATTGCAATATATCGTAGATTAATTATCATTAATAAATTTGAGCAGAATGTTTGAAATGCTGTCAAGTTCAAAGACTATTTGAATTTTATCTTTAAATTTTAAAGGGGGATAAGGGATAATACATTAATTGCACACCTAATAACACTTTACTTTTAATCAAGTACCAGGTAAAATAATAAAACAATATGTACTCTCTTGGACGATTTTCTTTCTTTCTTTTTTTTATAGATTATATAATTTTTTTTTTGGGGGGGGGGGGGGGGTCTAGATGAAAAAACCAGAAAAAAAATTTGTGACCTATTTTCGTGCGTTTTGGTGTTTTAGTCTAACCCGACCTAATTTCACATTATGTATACGATCAGGAAATGACCTACATCTACTCTTTTAATATGTATATGCTTCTGGTATAGCATGATGTGTTTAAAATGGCATGAAAGTTATTAAAAAAATAATTAAATTAACACTGCTACAAGTTAAACATGGATGACTGTTTACTTCTAATATGTACTTGTATATAGAACTTTACATTTCATACGATGTTGATAAGATTTTGTAGATTCCTGTTTCCATGCGAGATTTTGAGAACCACAGTAAACATGGTACATGTGTATATACCTTTTAGAAATGTTTTAGAAATTTTCTTTCTCATAAATTTTCATTTTAAAGTCTTATTAATTTTTAATTTTGATTTAAAAGTAAAATATTCAAAACCGCAACAGTGAATTAAAAGCTCTCTCTCTCTCTCTCTCCCGAACGAAGCTGACGAAGTATTCTTTCAACGAGAAAGAAAAAGTCTTAAGTAGTTTCAAGTATTATTTCAGCAGTTTCTACAATAAAGGTTTTTATATATATATATATTTTTATAAATATCGTGAAATACCGGTATTTCATTTTCATATCGCGATATATTATTGTGGTGGTTAATACCGCAATATACCGATATACCGGTAATATTGCACACCCCTATTATATAGGCAACTTGGTAAGCAGTTATACACCAGGCAGATGTTAAAGGCTAAATCAAGAGGCACCAGGCAGATAGATGTTGACTTATATAGTCAGTTGTACGAGTATAGTGAGGCAATTATCATATGGCACCAGGCAGGTGCCGGTATTAACTGAAGATAAATAATTATACAAAGCACTTAGGTCATTTGATTTAAAGACACCAGGCAGGTGTCATATTATTATCTGTATATATTGCATTCAATCATATCCCCAGTAAAACTCGGTAATCCGAGCACGGACCTACTGACCGCTCAGATCCGACATTATGAATGCTTTTTATAATTCTTAGACAGGTGAACTGTTGCAAAAGTACCGTGGCATACACAAGTATATTTAGAGCAGTACTCCCAATAGCTTAATGGTTAGCGCGTTGGGGATACAAAAGTAAAAAAAAAAAAAGCGCATTCACGTTGGCGACATGGTTTCAGTCCTCCTTGTGACCAAAATTTTGAATCTCTTTTCAGCTCGATTTTACTTGGGTTTCTTTTCCTAAAACGGACGGAAGACCTCTCGTTGCTCGCAACGAGATCGTATCTAGTTGCATATACTTTTGTCTTCTTCTTAGAATTTGTTTTGTCATTACCCTTATAAAATACCTATTATAATTACTAACTTAGAAAATTTTCTCTACATATGTATTTACTTCACATTTACATAACAAAGCGAAGAATTGTCAAACATCTATAAATAGAAACATCCATATGTAGCAATTATTTTATTCTGATTTATGCCTTGGAGATAAGAGAGCTTAAAGCAATGCGAACTGCAACTTTGATGTCGGATTTTTTTTTATTGCAGAATTGTAATAAACTGAAAAAGAACATCTATAATCTTTTGTTCTTCATATATGCGATAGAGGTTCTTTTTATAACCTATCAAGGAAACGAAATCGTTTAATGACGTCATGTGTAATATCGATTTCTTAAATAATACTAAGTGTCTGAATGAACAGAAGTCTTTCTCAATTTAATTCCTTATTGTCGTCTTATTGAACATACAAATTTATCACTATAACACATTTTCATTGCATAATAAAATTATCACAAAAGCATCTCATATTGCTTTAAAAAGGGTATCAAAGCTATTCAAAAAAGTGTAAAGTACGTATATATGATAAAAAATATTATTACATGTAAGAACAGCAATCCATTATTTTATATATTAATTCAGAATTATCTTCAAGTAGTGTAAAATTGTGTCTGTTCAGATAAACCTCCCCCGGAGTAAATTTTATTTCTTTCTTTTACACTATGAGCTAATTTATTTTTCTAAAGGTAGGGGGCTCAGATGAGCGATAGGGCCTAAGGGTTTTCATCATTTATCATATAACATTCGACATTTGAGTAAACGTTCTCTATTTCACAAGAATTCTCTGTAAACCTGAACAATACTAAAGGTTATTAACGATTGACAAAGGCTGCTTTATCGATTCTCGCATCTAAAAACATCTTGACAAGAGTTTTTAAGGCCTGTATATCATATTTTGTTTACAGATTTTCGTCACCTTCGTAATATCTTATTCTTTGAATGAAATAGACATATATATGCCACACTTATGACTAATTTCCATTTAAATTCTCACCAAGGCCTCACTGAGGTGTGCTCGCAGTCAGATATTGCGAAATACCCAGGTTTTTTTTCTATAACTATAATAAACAACGTAATGAAATTACATAATGAAATCAGTGTCGTGCTTGTACGCAAGGTTAAGGACTGAGAAAGATAATGAAATTAATGTAGAAGATTGGTTTAAAATATCTGCAAACACAAGGTAAGGTTGGAATTAACATTCTTTTGTCTCTTTGCTATAAAAGTAAATTATTATAACATATAAGAAATGAGAACAAAAAAACCCAGTTCTGATAGTTTGATACAAATTTTTCATGGTTTTGCGATAGTTTCGTTATGTACGTCTACATAAATATTCTTTCGCACTTCGAATCTACAGAGGTTATTTAGTAAAGTACAATATTTCTATAGTAAATTAAAATAAAGTCCAGGAACATTTTTCGACGTCTAATCCCAATCATTTAATCAATATAAACAGGTGAATTCTTGAAGGGTCACAATTTTCGTTTCCCTTAAAGGCAAAAACTGAACTAAAGATTATAAATCACATGCGAAAAGCTTCATATTTCACCAGTATATTCTTTGCACAAAACCTTTTTTTGGGTACTAAGAACTATGACCTAGTGACCTTGACTTCTCAGCTCTGTTAAGGAAGATCAGAGTTCACATTCCTTGTACATCGTATTCAAAGTTTAAAAGTGACGTCATTGAAATTTAACAAGTTACAAAAATTAATTAACGACATGATCATGAGTAAATAAAAACTTGAATTTATTTATGTTATCGAATATATATATATAAAATCTATAAATAGGGATAAAGAATGTAGGGAATATCGCTAAAACGATGAGCGTATTCGTGATTGACTAATTGTATACTGTTTAACGCCCCTCTCCAGAATATTTCACTGATATGGAGACGTCACCATTGCCAATGAAGGGCTGCAAATTTTAGGCCTATGCTCGGCACTTACGGCCTTTGAACAGGGAAGGATCTTTATCGTGCCACACCTGCTGTGACACGGGGCCTCGGTTTATACGGTCTCATCCGAAGGACCGCCCCAATTAGTCGACGTTTACGACAAGCAAGGGGGAACTGAGGACCTATTCTAACTCGGATCCCCACGGGTTGGCGTATTCGTGATTTACATCAAAAGTGCAAGGACATACACTATTTTGTTTGAGCTGAAATTTGAAATATTTATTGCTTATATAGTGTATATTTTCAAAAGTGCTGGGAGCTAATCCTTGTGTGCATAACATTAATTTTATTTATAACAGAATTTAAGCGAAGTGGAAATTTTTAGCTATTATAAGCATTTTCGGCAACATTGTAAGTACTTCGCAAAGAGCACTGACTAGCTCCCAGCACATTTTGGGTAGAGGAAATAAACCCCTTTTAATGTGTAGCAATTCTTTTTTCTTGAAAAACAAGCGTATGCCCTTGCTCTATCTCCATTTCCTACATTCAGCTTAACAATTATATTTTTATACAACTCACGTGACAAACAGCTGATACGTGCGATATAAATGGTAATATCTACGGCCCAGTCCTATCCATTATTGATAGTAATATTACATTTTCTACGAGTATTCAGTTGCTTTGTTACAATTTTTTAAAAGAAGTAATACATATTAAAACGATGCAAAGGTCACATTTTCCATATCGGTCCTTTTCTTTTTTCTGCTTAAGAAGTATGATATGTCTCTTAAAATAAGATTTTGTTTATTATTGTAATTTATTTGTCAGATACAATGAGTGAACAAAATGCTATAAACATCTTATTGGTATTTCTTCACCTTGTTTCAGGTAAGAAGTTTTAATACTAAAATTTAAACAACAAAACAAAACAGTTAGTACAGTAAGGTTGAAATTTCATTTAATTATTACTGTGATGTCATACACGTTATTTGAACAGTTCATTTTAATGTGTATACTATAACTTCTGTCTTCTTCTTAGAATTTGTTTTATCATAACCCTTATAAAATACCTATTATAATTATTAACTTAAAAAATTGTCTCTATGCATGTATTTAATGAGATTTTTTAACTATAGCAGTTCAAAGTACGTTTTGCTATAAAATTTGAACTGTTTTATAATAATATATGCACTTTTTAGTTCAGCGTATATTTTCTAAAATTTACTCAACTGATGTCTAATTAAAGAGGTATTTAATTTAAGTCTTCAAATCTTTAAAAAGTTTCACATGAAATGAAATTTCACTTTATTTTTTTTTTGCTCGTCTATGAAACATTTAACTATTATTAGCTTTAGTTAACTTAAGCAATTCTACTAGTGGAGTTTTGAACATTTTCAGGCATCCAAATAGAATTTGAGGATGGAAGCCTAATTTTTGATTGGAAACAAACAATATCTTCGGATGGTCCTTTCCATGTCATAATTACCCGTGATTCACAATCAAGCGAAATGTTTACTATTAACAATAAGTCATTTGTCGTCCATGATTTACTAAATTTTTCCTCCGTTTCAATCAGCGTCAAACAACAGAAGGATTGGGCAATAACATACTACAACAAAACCTTTGAAGGTATTTTTACTTTGTTTTATCTTTAACAAATGGAATTTATACATATTTTAACAAGTCAAGAAGAAAGGTGTTATTCTTTCTGTTAAGACTTTTAGGTAATAAATTCATTCAAATACAGATCAATGTCAAGTAAAAGTTAAATAAACAGTATAAAAAGGATTATTTTTTTTAAATGGATTTTTAAATCTAATTTAGAAATTCTGAATTTTTTTTTCAGTCGCTGTGCTTTCTAGTTCATCCGGGTATGATAAAGTCATTCACTGGGAAATGCCATATTTTCCAAAGAGTGGAGACATCAGAATCTTTCATGAACAAAGGCCAAAGGAACCTATTTTGAAAATTGAGGATCCAAACGTCTTTTGCAGGAACCCCCATAAATACAAATACATGTCTTTTCCTGTGAATTCTGTATTTGTTAATTTTACAATTATTAATACAACACTAAATGATGCTGGATTCTATTACGACAAGATACATTTGTCGGATGTTGCTGATACCGGTGCGTTTTTAGTCGTATATGGTATGTGATCATTGTATTTCCAGACATTTAATCTTCTTTGCTACTTTAAATATTTTTTTTTTTTCAAATTATAACACAATGTTCTAATATTTTGCAGTAATTAGTGCTTACAAAAGTTTTGTGTGAATAGGTTTTAGGTTGTAACATCGACAAAAACTCCCAGGACCATAAGATAAGAGTAGACGGAATCCAAAATTTAGATTTTAAATGTTTTAATTTGATTTTTATGAAACTTGTTCGAAGAATTTGCAAAGTTGTTTAACATGAATATCAAAACATAATTAAGAGTTCTTTATTATTGTATTTATTTTAGATAATTTACTCAATTTTGATTGTTGACTCAAGTCTTTTTTCAGTTTTTGTCCATTCTAAGACGTCAAAATTTTCTTTAAACTTACTTTTCCTCCTACTGATGAAGGTATCATATTAGATAATACTATATGTAAGAATACTATGGCTTTGGCTTAAAATGAGAAAAGACGACAAAATTGTTGTTTACATCCTTTGATTATCAACTACGTTTCTAAACACAAAATTCTATTTTATTTCGGAGAAATTAATTTTCAAGAATTTAAAGGAAGACTTCCCCACAAAATTTCATGTTTTTGAAGTGTTTTAGAGCAACACGTATTATTCAGTAGCAAAAACGTTATTAAAAATTTTAAACGAAAAGAACTCTTCTATAATATTTCACTGCCTAATTATTGCAGGTGAGCCTACACGACCTATCATTAATGGACAATCAAAGATTAAAGTTGGAGAGCTTGTAAACCTAACATGTTACAGTAGATCTACGTCAACTCCAATCTATTACAAACAATTCCCACAATTGAGGTACACCTGGTTCATAAATGGTACAGAAGTCCCCTCATTTAGAGGAGGTGTCTTTGTCTTCACTGCCAAGAAAAATCATCGTTTTATTCCAATTACTTGCCAGTCGACAGAATTCGAATCCTCTCAGATGAGCGATATATTTTTTATTGACGTTGTTGGTAATGTGGTTTAAACTTAATATTTTCAAACCAATAATAAATTAGAACATGCTGATAAAAATAAATTATCTTTACCTTTTTAAAAAATATACTTTTAACAATATATGTTTGGAACTGTTTTAAGGAAATGACGAATATTTTGCAAAACCATTAACAACAATAACAACAACTAGAAATTCAATATCAACAACCGAACGATTTCTAACTGGTAAGTTTTTATTAGATTATGGATTACCTAGGACAGTTAAAAGATGACAATCACTCCAAACAAGTAAAAAAAACGAAAAAAAGCAGTAAATAAAAAGTACGGCTGAACGTCTTATTCATTCACGTCCCCTTCTATGTACATAGAATAACTTTTTGCTTAAGATTTGAATACCTTGCTCTTAACTCTTGTATATTTAAGTTTTCTTTTCTAAAACTTTGATATATATTTATTCTAGATGAAAACTACCTTCGGGTGGATTCTGGTGATGAAATGAATATTATGGTGATCATAATCGTATTCCTAACAAGCGTGATTATAATTTTGATAACATGGATTCTATTTATTAAGCTAAAAAGAGGTAAATTATTTCGCTTCTTGTTTTATCAATTTTTTGTTGTTGATGTGTTTTTATAAAGCACTGAAATATTTTCTGACTTCTAGCAACAATATGTTTGTTATATTATCTAACAAAGGCAAAGGTTGTTTGAAAAATCTATAAATCCGACACAACCCTTTTGCTTTGCTGTATTTAAAAAAATATATCGCTTTAATTTGTCAACTACCAATGAAACCGGAGGGAACTATAATTTTCTTCTCTCTCTATTTGTCAATTAGTCTGTCCCACTTGATTTTCCACACTTCTTTTCCTGAACGCTTGGAGATATTGGGCTGATTTTTCGTATGTGGATGTATCTTAATGAGCTTCAGATTAAAATTGGATTCATTTGATGCAACGATTTTTCTCGAAAAATTCGACCTTTTTACTTTCAAATGAAAACCAGATTACACCTACAAGTAGGGGAATATTATTGCCAATGGAATACTCTCAGGATGCTTGTTTTATATACGTATGTTCTGAAATGTTGGGGGATTTCCCTAGTTTATCTTTTTTTCTTATTCTTAGGACTTACATTTGGCATAATACATGTAATTCTTTTAGGAATCATCTTACATTCACTAACCTTTATCTAATACATTCTGGTAGACACATTTACAATTGAATATTAATTAATGCTTAAACTTACTTGAATAATTATAACATAATAATACACTTGTTTTACAGGTAAAATGTGCAAGAAGAATCTTAAACGCAAAACATTATCATCACAGTATCTGACACCATCAGCAGACTACGGAAACTCCACATTGTCAATTATTTATAACAGGAATGGAGCGGATCATTATCATCAGATAAACGAGGACAGCACTTCATATATTTATATAGATTTATAAAAACCGACATTTTATGTATTAAGTGTACAAGTATTTAGGCCCTACAGCTTTATCTGATGTTTTATGGACTCTTATACCCCTGTACATGATTCCTTACAAACGTAGACGAATCTTCAACACATTCATCTACGTATGGTAATTTACTTAATTCTTATGAATATACGACACATGTAATATAAATAGTATTATGATGCATACTTTATACAGGATTTCACATTTATTAACTTAGATTTTAAATTGTGGATCAAACCTTGACATACTTTTTCATCTCATGTTCAACAATTTATGAATCATTTTCGGTGAAAAAGAAATGCAAGTAGGTAGATGTTGTGGAAAAAACATCATCAAACAGCTATCATTTGTCACAACGGCCCGATTTGTGCATGTCAATACGTATCTAAAGCACGACAGTAACGAAATTCACATGTATATAGGACTAATGCATTATAAATAGTATTATGAGCATACTCTACACAGGATTTTAACTTTTTTATTAACTGGGATTTTAAATCGTGAATCACACCTTGACATACTTATTCATCTCATGTTCAATAATTTATGAATCATTTTCGGTGAAAAAGAAACGCAAGTAGGTAGTTATAGTGGAAAAAATATCAGGTAGCTATCACTTGTCACCTCGGCCCAATTCTTTTGCGTTCCATTACACGTCCTACAGTATTAAATTTATATGTAAAGTATTTATATGTTAAGTTATGCTTGTAATAACAACATAATCAAATAGCATGTAAAAAGTCAAACATAAAAACACATTATATATTATAACACGTTTAAAACAATATATTTTTAAATACCTAAGCGAAGCGACAGAAAACAATATGTTTTATATTAAATACTAAAAAAATGAGAGAACGTACAGTAAGTGCTCCAGAGCAAACACGGACCTCTAAAATATGCGAGGTGTATAGATATGTCTATTTTTATTATCAAAGTTTGTTATATTTGAATAAAAACGATTTCATACATAAAAGTACTGGTTTACTTTGACTTCATATCAGTACAAACTCATTTGTATATGTATTATTTGAATAATGTATTTCCTTTAAAATTATTTCAAAAATTGACATTTGTTGTCATTTTTTTTATTTCATACAGAATATCTTAGACATATATTTACCTTCAGTCCCTCCCCCTCCCCCTCCCCCCCCCCCACACACACATATATTCTCCATTTAGTATACGCATGTCCATCTAAAGGAATTGTCTCCAAGAATTTCTTTGAAACACTTTGTCTTGGGTTGAGAAAGTTGCATGTCACAAAAAATGTAAATGTATCTGTTGTATCTTATCTGTGTCGATTTGATAAACTCATTGTAGAAGCTCTTTGCAAATAAAAAAACACAAAAATTATTGCTATATGTAATAAAGGCAAATACATTTTATGCATAACAATACAGGAAGGAAACTTTACAAAATATTAGATACATTCAGGAATAAATCCTAGCACACAATAGAAAATTAAATGTAAATAATAGCTTTCAGAAAAGATCAAATCATTAACTGAAAAAAGAAAAAAAAAGAAATTTTCCAGCAAAAAATGCACCCGTTCTGACCTGATCATGATAAATGAATAACTCGGAGATGGCTTTATTCTTATTATGTTTAAAGATCTAAAGATGTATTGACTTTCAGTTACGAAAGTAAGTTTTTTTTTCTTATTTTAAAGGGATTTCGCATATTTATTCATGAAAAGAAATAATAAAAAATCACAAGTAGACTAAAATAATGATACATTCAGCTACCCTAGGTTTAAAAAGTATAAACACTGGAATGAAGCGTTCCGAGAAATTTACAGATTTAAATGTGAGCAATGCCATGTATTCCACTAACATTAATTTCGAACCCATAGGTTAATGTACTCCCTTCGGTATAAGATGTCAAAATATCATTATTATACTTTGGTTGTCAGTAAAAGTCTATAAAAAACTTTATTCACACAAAATACACCTTAAATCATTTCTTAAATGTTTGTTTACATCATCTGTGTCTATTGAAGGCACCGTCAATTGAAAAAAAATTGATTACTTCATTATATATACATGTATAAGCTGATTGCATACAAGTATTTGTCGAATTTGAATGAGCATGACTTTGCACAGCTTTTTCATTTCATGCAGTCATATGTGCGACAGATCACCTTTCCCAAATATTGTGATTTTAATACGAACTTGATATTATCTCTATCGCCTACTGGTCTGAAAATGAGCTTTTACGACAAAAATAAAGAAAAAAATTCATCTGTACCGATCCGATAATTCATTTGCTTATGCATTTCTACTGCAATATAGTATTTTTAGCATTTATTACTAAAAAAATAAACTTTATAATTAATTTCTAGACCAGCCTAGAAGGTCATCCTTTTTGAATTTTCACAATTTTGTGAAATGTTTACAATAAATTTCGTTTAAGGTAGGACACAATAGATAGGCCAAATTTTTCCTCAAATTTAATTTTTCTTAAACTTTTATATTTTGTTCTAAGATGCAAAATCTCTCTTAATATGTAATATGAATAAAATTCAACCGCACATATTTTGCCAACATTGTCTGAAATATGGCCTATCAGACACCTGCAAGAAGATTGGGAAATCAGACATTTGACTTAAAAATGAGCCTTATTTTAGAAATATCAATTGATCTATTGGAAGTTTGTGTTATAATTTTGATAAAGATAACCTTTATTTTTTACTTTAACTTAGTAAGTCATATTGATACTGGACCATTTGAGAAAAATATTAAGTTAAAATAGAAGAAACATAGCGTCGGAATTTAAAATTCACATGTAAATATCCTACATTTAAAGTTTTCTAGGGAAAGAATGTATAATTCAATTTTTGCAAAAAATTAACAGAATGATTAAAATGGGTCCCAGAATAAAATGTATAAGCAAAAAGGAAATTGAACCGGTAGTTTCTGATATTTTGGCGATTAAGAAAATTTAAATGGCAAAAAATATAAAAGATTCGGAAGATGATCACAATATTTGACCTTTGACCTCTAGATATGACCTCGGCCTTTATAGCACACAAAGAGCGGAGGCTGCTCCTTTGTGTGTCCAAATATCAGCCCTCTACTTTTTATTGAACAAAAGTTACATTGCATTTTATATCAGACTGTTACATGCTTGTTTATTGCACTTAGATAGCGTAAACACATTCCAAAATGTAAGCTCCCAAGTGACCAACATAGGGGTTTCTCTGATTTTCTTCATAAAATATGACGCAATCATGCCAAAACTTTTTATTTTTCTTACAGGGGTCATTCATTGTAGTCAATGTAGTAATATTATTCTTTTTTCTCCAGTATTTTTTTAAGAAATAAGTAAAAATAGAATCCAGGGGTGTTTTGTACTACCTTAATTGACTGAAAAAGAAATTCATAGGGCAGAAATACCAAAAATATGCCAAATGAGATTATTTGGTGCTTTTCCTACAGATTTCCATAGAATCCAATGAAAAAAATTGACAACTTTTGAGATGGCTCCTTAAGAGATCTGAAGGGTAAGCATTCAATGTTTTACTCTTGAAACAATAAATTTTAATGTAAAAATGAATTAACGAAAAATTTTCGTAGAATAAAGCAACATGTAATCCCGGTTTATCACACTAATTGACTTCATAGAAAATTATTGTTTACATTATAAATTCAATACAAAGATATCTTATTAACTTTAAAAATGACAATTAATCTGTAAACTTTATAAAGATGTAACAGACTTGTGTGGACGTAATTGTGTAGTCAGATGTAAAGAATGAACAACAAGGCTGTTGGTTCGAGTTTGACAAGACGATAACTCTTTATTCGATGGATCATTGAGATAATCATCAAAACCCTATAATGAAATAACAAATTATAAATTCTAAGCATAAAAATTATAAAGCTATTAATCAATATACATGTACAAATCAATATATCATATAGCTTTATCCGAATCAAAGGAGATAATCCAATTACATGAAAATTACATAATAAAATCTCCCATTGCTTTAATCAATGAATATTTATAATAAAAACTTTACAATAATTATCATTTCAGTGTATATATATATATATATATATATTATCAATTATTGTTCAGCATAAAAAACAATATCAACATGCATACCATTCAATGGGAATGGGTCATACACTGTACAACAGCATATAAGCTGCATACACAAGACAGCAAAAGGATAATTACTCAATATCTACAAATCAACAATAAACAACTTTGTAGATATCTATACCAATCATTAAATAAAGTTTACTTTAAAAATATGAAAAAGTGAGACAGCAATGTATTTACTATTCACATAACTCTATATCTAAAGTCTCACTCTCACTATACATTTACTCCAGAAAAAGTGATTAGGAATTAAGTGCAAAAATTACAGATTTCACATTTAATAGACTGAATTAGATTCTTATTACTTATTAGTATTAAAGAGATTTACTTACCATGCAACAGGAAATGTTGGTCTCTAGCTATGTCATTGTCTGATATGTAAAACAACTATGGTAAACTCAATGACAAAAACACTTCCAACACATATGGCAACCAAACAAGAATTAACCAAAAACACAAAGAAAACTTGGAGGGGAACACAAAAACCAATCGAAAAGCATAAGACAATACTAAAAAACCAATGAAACTAAAAGATACAAAATGACCATGGCCAGAATATAATTAGAGCCCTGAGGCTAACTCTGGACCTCTCTGGAAAAGAATAATTTAAAAATCAATACACGTAACTACAGGTTAAATGAATAATTATATAATCAGCTGTAGAAGTGTGCTGCAAATAAAAACATACAGTATATTAAATTAAATCAATGAATAGATGTATATGCAATATGCGTTGCTATGCACATGTGCATAATATATATAAAAACATGAGTCTGTCACAAAGATAAAAAATAATATTATCTAATTACCCTATGGGCGTTGTCAGCTTGAAAAATTGATCTAGTAGGCTGTCGTTTGTTAAATTGTAAGCATGTGCTTTTTCTTAGCTCATTTCCGGTTAGACTAATTACACAAAAAATAAAAAGAAAAGGGTTACACTAAAACCCGCAAAAATACCAAAAAAAAAACAAAAAAAACCCCAACATAAACAGAACAGTAAACATTCAATGTTTTATTCTTGAAACAATAAATTTTAATGTAAAAATGAATTAAAGAAAAATTTTCGTAGAAATAGTTATATTCGGCCTCGTCAAAATATTTTTTAAAAAGTTGAAAAGGTGACATATTTATTTAGAAGAGAGATAAAAAAAATTATGTAATTCAATATTACTCATCACTTTAAAAAACAATCACAAGCTATACTAATATGATCAAACTTTCAGCCACATTAGGTTCGGAAACACTGAACATTGGAATCAAAGGTATGGAAAAATCTACGGATTTAAATGTGTGCAATTCTCTCCCGCTATGAAGCTCTTTAAATGAGACAGTACCATGTATTCCACTAACATTTACTTCGAATCCGAAGATTAATATATTTCCTTCAGTATAAGAAGTCAAGGTTGCTAAATCATCATCTTCGGGTTCCATGAAAAATATCTCAATTTTTTCTGCATCACAATAGGCATGCATACTGAAATAGTGCGGTGTATCTTGCTCCCCAGAATTAGTTTTAATCTCATCATTACAAAATGTCACATGAAAAATGAATTCAAAATCACATATCTTTTTTAATTCTATTCTTGTAAAAAACACTAGCCTCAATTCTTGCTCTTTAGCTATTTTCCTGTCCGTTTTAGCACCGTAATAACCTTGTTGAGATATATCTGCTGATCCTGCCACGGCTGATGGGAAATTTGTATTGCTGAGTATTTTCTTGTTCTCTGACATAAAGACTGCCTTATGCAATGTTGATAAACGAAATTCCATAGAATCTGAAAGAAAACAAGAGAAAAAATGTGTTTGTTCTAGCTATGGATGGGCAGCTTTGTTTGACAAAAACAACTGGTTTCTAATAAGCAAAATTGACACCACAGAATGTAATATTTAAATGTAGATTCTTTCATCTTTTCCATATACATTTTAAGCAAGTCAATTTTGTCGATCTCGTACAGTGGGACATTAAAGTAGATATGGCAAGGCATTTCTCATGGTTTATTTTTCTTTACCTTTACTATATTATTAAATTAGAAATTACACAGCCTAAACTGATAGATTCTGTTGAGTTATTATTTTTACAGAAATAAAAAAAGTTAATAAAGATTAAGACCTTGGGCAATAATTTTCTGATAATAACACACATATAAAACCATCTTAAATTGAAAAAGGTAAGTAAATATATTTCATGCACAGTTTGCGCCTGCATAATCAACTTCTAGTGTCATTCAGAATAATTATTTCCTAGTTATATTTTCATTGTGGAACTAGAGATACGTGTATGTTTACACTTAATGCAGAAAACATCAATGCTTAGTTATGATTACGTAGATTACATTTACCTACAGTACATATGTAAATATATTTTCACATTTTTCTATTAGGGTCCTAAGAATTATTATATTCACAAAAAAGTCTTGTAGAACTTAGCATTGAAAGATTTATTTATTATCGGTCTTGTAGAGTAGGTTTTCCCCTAAAATACCCCCCACCCCCCCGGGGGATGCCTCTAGAGCAGGATTTCCCCTATAGAAATCCCACAACAGAGTCAATTTTCCGGAGGAAAATCCAACTATATGTACTAGTTCTACGGTGCATTTTCTCCCCTAGCCAAAAATTCCGAAATGAAATATGATTGCTTTACTAAACGTTCGAAGATATTTAGCTAAGTGAATCTTATTGAGAAGGATATGGAAATAACAAAAAGTAATTAATCTCAAAGTCCATAAAACAAAACAAAATAAGAGCATAGTTTTGCATTTTATTTCGCTTCAATTCTTTATACAGACTTACATTTTGGCTTTTTAATTTTTAAGGGTTTTCCGCAATGCTTAATTAAAACGAATGAAGATACTAAGCTTACTTTTGGAATGTGAATTTAAAGTTTGCATTTCGATCCACTTCATTGAATATTTATGGAATAATGGCATTTTCAATTTCTAGCTAGAAGACATTTGCTGTTAAGGGACAAGTTTTGGTAATGAAATGCTTTCAGCATGTTTGTTTTACTGTACAATTGAAATATTACATGTCAAATATGAAAATCTAGCCTCTCTCAATTAAGAAGTGATATTTTATTAAGAAAAGCAAAATGGTAAAAATCAGCCTATGTTTTATTGCTGATTTTTTGTCATTTTATATTTCCTCATAAAATTCACCTGGCTTGTTATATTTTTCTAAAATTTATATTACACTTTTAGCACCAAGGTAACATATTCTGAAATTTGTTTTCACCTGTAAACCTTTACTGAGTGTTATTTGTCTATATGTATTTTTAGGTCACCTGAGTAAACTCAGGTGACCTATTCCTATCCGTTTTCGTCCGTCGTCGTGCGTCGTGTGTTAACATTTGAACATTTTCAGCTTCTTCTCTGCAATCACTGAATCAATTTCAACCAAATTTGGCACAAAGCATCTATGGGTGAAGGGAACAAAAATTGTGAATTTTATGATCCCTGCCCCCCTGGGGCCTGATGGGTGGGGCCAAAACCACTAAAGTTAATGTAATCTTTAAAAATCTTCCTCTTTACTCCTGGACATCAAGCAGTCAAACTGTTTGCATGATTGTAATCAGCATTGAGTTCTCTACCAAAACTGTGAAATTCATAGCCCTGGGGTCAGGGATTCTAGTGCTAGGGCGGGTCTAAATAAGTATATAGTGAAAATGCATGATTTCTTTGAAAATCTACTACTCTGCTCCTGGGTATTAAATAAACCAACTAAGTACACTTTTATGATGAGCAAGAGTGCCTCTTCCAAATTTGTGAATTTTATGGCCTCAGGGTCAGGGGTTCTGGTATTAGGGCGGGGCTCTATTGATTATATAGTAAAAATACTTAAATTTTTTGAAAATCTTTTCTCTGCTCCTTGGTATTAAATAGACTAAGTAAGTACATAGTTATGATGAGCAAGAGTACCTCTACCAAATTTGTGAATTTTATGGCCCCAAAGTCAGGGGTTCTGGTGTTAGGGCGGGGCTCTACTGATTATATAGTGAAAATACATGCATTGTTCGAAAATCTTCTTCTCTGCTCCTAAGTATTTAATAAACTAAGTAAGTGCATAGTAATATTAAGCAAGAGTGCCACTTCCAAAATTGTGAATTTTATGGCCCCAGGGTCAGGGGTTCTGGTGTTAGGGCGGGGCTCTTTTGATAATATAGTGAAAATGCATTAATTCTTCAAAAATCTTCTCCCCTGGGCATTAAATAAACTAAGTAAGTACATAGTTATGATGAACAAGAGTACCTCTTTCAAGATTGTGAATTTCATGGCCCCTGTGTCAGAGGTTTTGCCATTTGGTGTAGGGTTGGGGGCTCTTTTGATTATAAAGTAAAAAATACATTTAATTTTTGAAAATCTTTTCCTTTGCTCCTGGGTATTATGCTAATGATCCAAGTATATATATTTATGATGAAGAAAGGTGGTTAATTTCATGCCCCCTGGGTCAGAGGTATCAGAGAGGGTGGGGTGGGGTACATAGTCCGAAATAAATTAATGCTTTGAAATCTGCTATTTGGTATTAATCAACCATTTATGATGAAATAAAATTTATGACAAAATTTTGAAATATGTGGCTCCAGGTTCAGTGGTTCCTTTGGGTGGGGTGCACAAACTGGTTATAAAGTGGAAGTGCATTTTCTCTTTGTTATTCTGATCTACCTCTGGGTATTAAGTAAATAGCATAAGCATGCCAAGTTTACAATTATGATAAGCAATGGTGCCTCTTTCAAAATTGTGAATTTCATAGCCTCTGGTTTAAAACACGAACCAAATTCAATTGTTGGAAAGTTGTTACATGATACTCAGGTGACCTATAAGGCCCGTGGGCCTCTTGTTTATTGAAATATTTGTAATATTTTCCAAGTCTATTTCATGTTGCAGTTCTTAGAAGAAAAAATGCTATGAATTATCCACTTTTCTAAACAGGTGACATGATATTAAATCTATTCCAAAGAAAAAAAAATTGTTTGTATCATCTGTCCTTAAGGTAAAATTATGTTTTAGGTTAGTTAGAAAATTAGTTTAAAATCTCTTAAGTCAATTCAAAAATAACAAAATGTAAATTCTTTAGAAAATAATTGAGGATTTTTTATTAGTTGTAAGATAAAGATATTGACTATTTTGTGTGGGATTCTGAAACAAGGTACAAAGTTTGGTAATGGTTGAATATGCTAGCATAAGATGGGGAATGTTGACAATTGGTTATTAAGAAATAGAACGGATTTAAGATATAGTTCTGATTCAGTATCAGAGTCCCTGATTGTGCCTGGCAGTGAATAGTTATACAAAGTAGTAGCAGCAGATACATGTATCACCAAACATTTAGAAGTTCTAAAAACAAAAAGGTATCACAGGAAAGCGAGTAGCACCTATCACCAAGTTCGGCCGTATTCTTATTATTAAAGAGACATATAAGATATTTATTGAACTTTATCTAATGTCTTTCATGATAAAAAGTCTGTGGACAAGCACCATCAAATTAAAACCGCTTAAGGTACATAAATGGATTTTGAAATGTCTAGTAAGCATCATCTTTTCTATCTATAGTATAAACCACAAATAATCAATTTTATTTTTTTAATAAATGAGTAATGTTTTTGTTAGCAATGGTATGTTTAGGCGGTGCAATTTTTCGACCTAAGTGTAACTGAGAAAAAACTATTTTTATCTGAATATTTGACATTCAAAAATCCCGTTAATTCAGATATGTGTTGGGACACTAGCTATTTGTTCCATTGAATTTGGAATTTTTACTTCATTCTGGAAGTTCCATGAAATTTTATTGTAAATTTTACATGAAGTATAAAAAAACTGTTTGAAATGACGTCAAAAAGGGGGAGGGTTTTCCTTTGAAAGCGTTCTATAAAGTTTTGCCCCTGAAAAAAAAATGGTATAGACCTAGGAAATGTTTAAACTGGCTACGGAGAAATAATATGCATTCAGAGTTCTTGTTTTTTAATGCCAAAATAGATTCAGATAGCACAGTTTTACATAGCATAGAACGCACAGTTAATGTCGATTTGTAGTCATGGTTTATATATTGAACTCCAAAAAGCAAAATATACTGGTACAATTAAGCGATGATCTCTCCCAATGTATAAATCCATTTGCAATATTATATATTGTAAGCCGCTGTTCATATGACATTGAAAAGTCATATAAACAAGACGGATTGAAGTCCTTACTCTGCTCCAGGGAATCTCATCGAAATAAATGTATAAGATAGAAGAAGCAGACATTGAAAAAGAATAACATTTTGAATGCATTCGGCAGGAATCTGGGCGTACTTGAAAAGTGAAATTTTAATTAACATTTCAAATGAAATTTTATCTTGTTTTAATCATCGGGTTTCTGTGAAATAGGAAAGGGAAAAAAATTCCCGAAAGAAAATTTTGAATTGCTTAAACATAGCTTGAAAATTGGCTAGATCAGACATTTGGTACAAAAGGGTACATTTTCAAATACGTTTTTCTATTTTTTTTTTCTATCTCTGGGTCTTCTTTCCATGGGTATGAAACGTTATCTTGTGCAATCTGATTTAAAGAAACGAATACACCTGTATACATTTGTAAAAATTGGAGAGATTACCCAGAGATCATGAAAAATGAACTTTTCCAAAAATACTCCATTGAGTAAAAGTTGTGCTTCTTTGGCCTTTTAAAAATCTACTGTATGTGTAGCGGTGATAGTTCAGTATGTTTGGCTATCTGTTCAGTGTACTAGATGTGAAAAGTTTTTGGTTCGAGCCTCGCATGGGGCATTTTTTATTTTTTTAA